TGGACAGGCGACCCTACCCCTTGTCACATGCAACCAGGGATCCCGGTTTTGGCCGAGTACTTCCATACGGATTATCCAGCCTGGTTTCATATTATGAGTTATGCAGGTGCAGGACGGAAACGAGGGCGTCTAGTCGTTCGGAGAGGACGATAAATCGATGTAAAACCGTGGATTCGGCGTGTACGTACTACGTAGAATAATAGTCGACAGTTGTAATTCTACACAGAGAGAGAGAGAGCGAGAGAGAGAGAGAGAGAGAGAGAGAGATGGGGTTTAACTTCCACTCGACACAAACTAGGTCATTTCGGGACTAACATATGGTTTATTTCAATAATTCGCTTGCGCGTAGTGGACGTTAAACCCCATATCTCTCTCTCCCTCTCTCTCTCTCTCTCACTAACCTGGAGGTCTCGTGTTCGATCCCGGTGTTGGCCGAGAAAGATCATCGGGACTTTCCGGTGTGGTGTTCAGTGGTGGTGTAGGACCAAGAGTCTGGCAAGGGACAACATATAGTTGTTCGGATGGGACGGAAAATCGAAATCCCGAATACACATTGGCGTGCACATAAAAGAACCCTTGACAGTTGAAATTCGATATAAGGGTAGGCCGTAACGCCGCCGTCCGGGAAAAATTCCCCTCACCGACAGACTGTAATTAGCACACGCTACATGTATATAATTATTTTACTGATTTTGGGGTCTGAATATTGTTTGCTTGTGTCAAGGGTAAAGTAATTTTTATGGTAGTTTTTAGATTAATCATGTCCCCAAGGCAGTCAGAGAGGTGGATACATTTGTACTTTTCTTTTACCTTTTGACCTAATTAGGAATCATAAATCATCCAATAAATATGTATTGTGAAATATATTCTTAAGGAAGGGTTATCCGGGTGTTCTACTGTCGACAAACCTCTCTATATGTTTATTTCGTGTAACTTTGTTCCGGGATATTTTGTCAATTGTAGACGAAGTTATCTTGGTCAGCTATTGGTCTTGGTTTTACAGGTGCCTAGCTCGGAAAGATTCTAAAATTGGTATTTTCGAACGCACTATTAAAACGAAAAAATGAACTGACATAAAATGGGGTTTAACACCCTGCGGTTCTGTTCCGACTGGGCTAATGAAGACGGGCGTACGCCACGCAGTGTGCTATAAAAAAAAGTATGTCCGACAGAGGAGCATAAGACCTACTTTTTTTATATAGAGACCAACTGTCAAAGTTTTCTTTTACGTGCACACCAATGTGTACATGGGACCTAGGTTTATCGTGTCACCCGACCGACTATGGGTTGTCCCTTGTCAAGATCCCCGGCCTACACCACTGACAAGGGCGAGCCACGCCGGAAAATCCAGATGAACTTTCTTGGCCAACACCGGGATCAAACACGGGACCTCCGGGTTATTGAGCCAACGTCTTACTCACTGAGCCACCGTGGCTCCAAAAAAGAACTGTAAGTTGCTAAGGAATTTTGATTGGCCCAACTAGACGAAAGTCGACAAGAACAAGAACCTGATCCCTGCCGCCTTCCAAACCAAAAACGTCTGTTTGACCACGTATATATTAATAATAATAAAATACCCTTGCCCATGCAGTGATGTCACATAAAATTCTATAGAACACCCATATAGAAGCAACCATCAAAGAGCAACCATCGCTTTATGCTTCACTATAATTCATTTTCAGACTGAAGAAACGCAAATATTTTTAGAAGGTATACAACAGAAAAATACCCAAACGTTTATTCCGCGACGTAATTAGAGTTATCCCTACCCATCCCAATATGGTGGGATATGTGTCAATTCTATTTGTTCCAGCATCGAATATATTAGGAGACTACACCTATATATACATTAACAAATGCATAACGTATATACATATATCTCTACACCTACACGGTTAATGAATCATATGTAGCGTATTATTTTCTTCTTAATTGTAAGTGACACCTTTATTTTACATCCGTGTATAACAACCCTTTCTTCTTGACCTAACACAAACAGAGCGAGAAAGAGAGAGAGAGAGAGAGAGAGAGGGGGGGTTAACGTCCACTAAACACAAACTAGGTCATTTCGGGACTAACATATGGTTCAATTTTATTTCAATAATTCGCTTGCGCGTATGGGTCTTTAGCAGTGGGAGGAAACCGGAGGACTCGGAGAAAACCCACGAGGTTGGACAGGCGACCCGACTCAATTCGGCAATCTAACTCCCCAAGCCACAAACAAGACAACAATAGAGATGAAGACTCAATTCCCAATAATTTGTTTTTATAAACTGCCCAAGCCACAAACAAGACAACAATAGAGATGAAGACTCAGTTCCCAATAATTTGTTTTTATAAACTTCCTATTTCAAAATGAAATGTGTTTTACGTCTTACATTTCTGCACCAGCCTAGCGAATGACGACATATATACGTCATGAAGTATGCTATGGGGAAAAATGTAATTGAAACTGTCAAGATTTCATTTATAAACGTATCCGGGGCCTTGTTTTTCGTTCAAAACGTGAAACTTTAAAACACAATTATAGTCTCTTATTATAGTTTGTAATGAAATGAAATGGGGTTTAACGTCCTACTGTTCTGCTCCGAACTGGGCTAATGAAGACGGACATACACCATACAGTGTGCTATGAGGGAATTTTGCTCGGACAGTGGAACTACGGCCTACTCTTATGTCGAATTCTAACTGCCAAGGGATCTTTACGTGCACACCAATGTGTACACGGGACCTCGATTTTTAGTCCCATCCGAACGACTAGACAGCTGTCCTTGTCAGGCCCTTTAAATAGGGTAATAAGACACAAAAGGGGCTTGGACATAAAAAATATTCGATATAAAACATATCCGAAGATCATATCAAATGAAAATAGTTCGTATCACAATTCGAACTTCAAAAACCGAAAAATCTATTGAAGTACTATCAACACATATAATCAAGACTGAAATCTTTAAAAGAAATGAAACAAAATTACCTCTACGGCAGAAATATTTCTGACCGTAAGTATAGACTTGTTAATAAGATAATTATTCTATAAAAAAATTGCAACAAAAATACTACTACGACAGAAATATTTCTGACCGGAAGTATGGACTAGTTAATAAGATAATTCTTCTTAAGGTACGACAAAAATGTAAATACTTTAGTATATGAAAATACGGCATAAAAACGTCAGATTGATATAGATGTGAGCCTCCAGGCTGACAAACGCGTCTTTCGCCCTCATTAATTCATATGACTTGCTGTAAATTTGTTTATATTAATATAAGTTATGGCAAATAATTCAAGCATAAACACATGTATTGCTACAGAACACATGCGGTTATATCCAAATAACGATGACATAAACAGAAATTATAATCGATGACGATTAATATGAAATAAACATTTAATAGCTGTTCCTTTTGGGTAGGCGTCTTGTGTGTAGGCGTCTTTAGCAGTGGGAGGAAACCGGAGAAACCGGAAGACCAGGAGAAATCCCACGAGGTTGAAACGGCGACCTTATTCCTTGACACGTACAACCGGGGGAATCGAAACCACGCCAATTGACTCAATAGCAGACCTTATGATACAACACGCACGCGCTAATCATTCGGCCATCCTATCTGTACAGGATCTGGAGTAAGTTTCCTCAATGAGTGTAGAATTATTAATGAAGGGTGTCAGTTATCGAACTTAGAAGCCTAGTTAATCCATGCCTGCCATTTGGTCTGCATATCTCATATCAAGCGGAAAATAATTAAACCCCAATACAAGTTCGCGTACCTAAAAGTGGAATAAGTACTTTGTAAATCTTCGCAAGTGGGTAATAACAAATTTGAATTGTCAGTATTTGACTGTGTAATTACAGGGTGTTCGGGTTGGTTTGTATGAAAATTTAAGACCTATATGTCAACCCCTCGCTGAGTTTAATTATCTATAACTTTTAACTTTATATCAATTTAATTATGTTTAGTTTCTTGCTGAAAGTGGTAATACAACTTTAAGATAAAATCCAACGCGTTTAAAACAAATTGATAATACAACTTTAAATCAAACATTACGTTCCAAAATATAACGGATAGCTTTCCATTTTAATGAAAATGTATCATGACATTTTGTTACAGGGTCTGTGGCAAGGTTTGCTAATAAGTGAAGCCTTATTAATGGTATCAAAGAAAAATAAAGTAGTTATAGCGCTAAAACAAAGTATATACAAACAGGGTAGTGCCTAATATTACTATAATAATTCGGAAAACACAGCATGGCCATCAGTAAGGAGCAGATTTCTACAAATACGGAGACAGCCAGGATCGTAAAACAACCTTATTTCACACATACATGTACTATTGAACCCTCAATCCTGTCGGACCCAGTGTCAACGGTTGTCCCTATGGTCATTAAAGTCGATCCTTTTGTTATATATGAATAGAATAGTTTTATAGCTTGTCACAGTAGTATGTTGACGGTTGGGGTTTTGTATGATGAATAACGGTAGACAATAGTCAAGCTAGGTTAAATCGTATAATTCACGCACGGAATAGATGGGTTGTATTTGTCTAGACTGTGTTATGTACACCTTTATGGCGTTATAGTATTAATCCGATTAGTGGTTTCTTTTAAAATTAATTTCAGGCCTTTTGACTTACTTAAAAAAGCCAAACTACAACCAAACGTTTAATACTTATTGATACAAACTATCTATAGATGTCCGATATCGTTTTTATATTTGTATTTTATATGAGGATTTTTGACTTATCTAAAACATCCAAAGTTTTAAATATATTAGATATCCCGATATTTATTTTATAATCTGTATTTGGTTTCTGTAATTTTAAAATCTTTGTCAAAATATTTAAAAACACATACAATTAAAATTTTAAGATAGTATAAGATTACAGCTCTTTTGTTGAGAGTGTATTATAAACAATTTATTTTTCAAATTCCTGCTTAGTTAAAAAAATACATCATACTAAATAAAGTATTAAAAACGTCGATTTAATAGAAATTAGAAGACTTACCGGATCATCCGTATGCCAAAGATCATAGGACTTCTGTTTTGACATGATCTTAGTCCAAATCCAAAGCAAATACGAAATATCACAGAGTGTAGAGTAAGTCAAACTGTGGGATAGTGAACTTGTCACATAGATATCTTCACCTAGTCTTTACAGGTGTCTGTAGTCGCGATCAACAGGTGTGAAGTAGGGGTGACACTACACAGTGTTACATGATTTAGGAATGTGTGGGTCGGTTATTCTGTTATTCATTGAGATATTATGTAGCATTTCAATAAATGAAATAGACTTGAACGGCCAGCCATAACTGGTTTAATAAAGACGTAAATGTCACGCTAAATCGGATTCTAACTGTCGAGAGTTCTTACATGTGCACCGTTTATCCAGGTAGTCCCGCCATCCTGTATTACTGAAAAAAGGATACCAGACTGAATGCAAAATCTCAGGGAAATTGTTCGGATAACACAGCGCCGGATTAACCATTGTGGGGGCCCTGGACCTTGAGTATGTGAAGGTGGAGGGGGGCGGCAACCTAACACACACAAGTGACCAGAACTTAGGCAGTATTATTTCACACACATGAAGCAACTACATCAAGCATAATTTGAAATCGGACATTGGCAGTTAGAAATCGAAATATGAATAGGATGTAGCGCCGCTGTCCGGGCAAAATTTCCTTCACAGCACATCTTCTCTATCTCGGTAGGTGAAGAAACGAAGGACCTTAAACCTCATTTCATTCCATTCATTTCATCAAGATCGATGAAGAGTTATAAACTGTATTTGGACGTTAAGGTCATGGACAGTGAATGTTGTAGTAAATGGACTTGCTGGGCCATGATGAAACGCCATCATATAAACATGTTTTTACCGTTTCGCATAAGTTACTTTAATTGGAGGCGGATATTTCAATGGATTAGAACACTCACGACAATTTTAACGATAAAATGGATATTATAGACTCAGTATAGCCCCGCTTGTTCAGTAATGTTGCCACGATAATAAACAATCAACGCTACATCTTTCAACACTCATAGCTTTGCTCAGAATACTGTAACTTGAATGAAATTCAGGATGCCAGTGCAATAAGATGAACAAGTGCCATTTCACACAATTTGCCAAAAATAGTATTTTTGCATATTTTTTAGACCAAACCTCTAAAATTGGCATATACTGTTATAAAAAAGGATAAAATGATAAAAATGAACAAGTTGTTTAAAAAAAAATCTGCTAAAAATAGATTTATTTTAAAAAAAAAAATCAAATGATCTTATTTAAAGCGAGAATTTCATATTTTCTAAGAAAGTCAAAACATAATTATTTCTATGTCTTTTGCTCAGTAGGTTGTCAGCTCACTATTATACAATCATAGGTATCATTCTCCTACTTATAAATCCTTAACCCTGGAAATAATAACACAATTACCTCCCATGTTTTTCTATTCACCCCATGGAATAGCTATCTTCAAACGTTTTAATTTGATGTTGAAAATGATATTTTTGTCAATTTCTCAACTGGCAATAATGAATTATAGGATTATTCTTTAACAAGGTATGACTGTTTATAGATACCATCTATTTTAAGGCTTTATTTTAATACATTTTAAAAAATATAACTTAAAAATATGAAATTACAACTTTAAAAAACAAGGGCACTTGTCCACCTTATTGCACTAACATCCTCAATTGTCAATATATTCATCTACATCTTACATAATGCATCTTTAAACAATATCGTTATATTATTATTATTTAATCAACTTTGGGTGTGAAAAATAACACAGCCAAGAAGACACTACAAAGAGAAAATTTTTCAGGTTTAATTGGGTGTGTATTTAATATTATAAAACATGTCATCATTTATTAATAAACCCATTTTTAAAAATCGTTTGTTTGTACAGCTTGAAAAAAAAAAACATCCCCTGCTGTGAGCGACTGAATTTAAAAACTCAATTGTAAGACAATAAGACACAACGTTCGTTCGTGAAGTGAAATAAAATGGGGTTTAACGTCCTAATGTTCTGCACCGAACTGGGTTTATGAGGACGTGACGGTGTGTTCAGCCTATTTTTAACATTTTCAAAAAAACCTAAAGTATGGTCTGGTTCTCATTACATGGGTTTTAAGACAATAACCACGACCCCAAGACTTTCAAAAATGGAAAGTAAGAAAAAAAACGAAAGTAAGAAAAATAAAACGAAAGTAAGAGAAAAAAACGAAAGTAAGGCCTAGCTTTCATTAGATGGGTTTTGTTGATTTTTAAGATGATAACCATCACCCTCAGATTTTCAAATCCAAGTTATGTGACTCAGGTTATATATATGACTTGTTGTTGATGAGAGGAGGTCACTCGACCAACAAACACCTGTGCGTACTTTACATACTTTAAGGTTTTTCAGAACTTTTGAAGGTGTAGATTGTGTCTTTAAAGGTATTTGTATAGAAAATTGGTCGGTGAGGTGGGGTGGAGAGGGGTGGGGTTAATAAAATATAATATATCTTTTTGGGATTTATTATAATTCATCCTCTATCGTATTAAGAGTAATATGAAAGACGGTCTGGCCGAGGGCGATTTACTTGAGTGACTAACCAGGTCGCTCAACCGTTAACAGTGGTGTTGGATATCTGAACTCGTGAATCATCGCATCGACCTTGACTAGACCTTGTAATTAATATACTGTACTACTAACTTCTTTTAAAAAACGTGGAAATATCCCACACATCTAATATGTCTGGAAAATAAAAAACGACAGCCACAGACAGCAGCTTCTATGTTGACTAATTGAAAAAAGACACTTTATGCCTTCAAAACTAAAATAAGCCTCTATATGGCTACGGTTCGTCCCCTTATGACCCCAAATGCATACACCTCGCAATGTTTCGTTTAATTAGACCAAATCCCACTAGACTAGAGGGATGTCTTGGGTCATTGCTTCGGGAATATATGCCCCAAATGCTGCGTAACAATTTTGAAATGGATCCGTTAACAACTGTATAACCTCTATCGCTGCAATATGGGCACATATTTTAAGTACTGTAGCTTCTGTCGTGTCACAAGGTTTTAGACAAAGGGGGTAAATCGGAAACGGAAGGCTGCGGAACGCTGAATATCTATACGGTTCGACCTCGTCGTGGCCCCAATGCTTCTTACCAAATTTTGAGAGAAAAAAACGTTCAGATATATAACCCCTATCGCGCATAAAACCATAAGGTTTTCAAAAAAGGGGACATGACTCTAGAACGGAAAATAGTCGAACCTAGAAGGACTAAGACTAGTAATTATTTCCCCTTATTTCATGATGTAGTGCGAGTTATAAATATACAATTTTTCCCTTAATTTTTTTCTCCCCTCTTCCTGCATTTTATGGTTGACTGTTTGGTCTAGAATTGGAGAAAAGGATCACATTTACAATTTCATAGCAGTTTTGGGTAATACTGATGATATTACAGCGGCGGGATAGGGAGTGTAAAGTGTATTTCGGCAGAGCAATCATTGTGTCGGAAGTGAGATTTTCACCCCAGTCAACTTCAAATCCGTGTAGCAAAAAATCTAAATGGTCAACCCGCTACAAAATTATGATGCGGAGATTTCCTAATGTTGTCCCCATTGTGCCTCTAAAGATTGGAACCAACGGAATGTTGAGCAAAAAGCTACAGCCTGTGATGTTACAGTCATTTAACATTGAAGTCAATGGGCAAATAATTGCTAGTCTGAGTCCAGAATATCGATAGGGTTTGTCCTCTCAAAACATCAATGATTCAAACTTTATTCGCGCAACAAAACCGTCAAAAACTGTAGCCTCTATCGCGTTCACTACCTAATTATTGACGGGCTGGTAGAGTGGCAAAAAAATGTGGGCGAGTCCCTACTTCCCATCGCTTTATTTTTTTGTCTTTTTAAGTACAAACGGATGTTCAATTATTCTCTCTTGTTATTTTATAAAAGCTTCAATGGACTCAATGATGCATGTATACCAGTGACTATAGATGATGAGGACATTCCTTCGTTTATCCTATTTTTCGAGGTAGTGAACGGGAACGCGTCTAATTGGCAAGATGGCTGGTATTTACAAACTCGCACACAAAACCATATTTGTCAAGATGGCTGGTATTTTTGAAAGGAATAAAGTTGGTTATTGTGAACATTCTCGGGTATCTTGTTAATTGGTTTATTTAGTGTGTTATTAATTGTTAATCCCCGGTAGCAATGGCAATTGAGACTCCGCTATTCTCCAGACAGCTCTAGCTCCGCTCAGAATGTTAATCATATTCCATCTTCATTATCTATTTTTGAACTATTATAGCGAGAACTGTCAGCTCTTTGGGGGGTTGGATGGCCGAATGGTTATCACGTGCGTGCTTTATCATAAGGCCTGTTATTGAGTCAACTGGCGTGGTTTCGAATCCCCGGTTGTACGTGACAAGGAATAGGGTCGCCTGTCCAACCTCGTGGGTTTTCTCCCGGTCCTCCGGTTTCCTCCCACTGCTAAAGACCCCTACGCACAAGCGAATTATGGAAATAAAATTGAACCATATGTTAGTCCTGAAATGACCTAGTTTGTGTCGAGTGCACGTTAAACTCCATTCCCCCCCTCTCTCTCTCTCTATCTCTCTCTCTCATTTCTTTATCTACATCTTACATAATGCATCTTTAAGTTCATATCGATTTCGTTATTTTTCAGTAATATAAGAGTCGTCTCCCTTTAATTGATCATGCAGTTACCACCGAGATTAAACGAAATGAAATGGGAGTTGAACGTCCTACTGTTCTGCTACGACTTGGCTAATGGAGACGGGCATACGCCATACAGTGTGCTATGATGAAAATTTTGCCCGGATAGCGGTACTACGGCCTACTCGTATTTCAATTTCCAACTGCCAAGGGATTTTGTACTTGTACCCGAGATATAAACACCTTTCTCCATGACAGACACCACACACATTTCAAATCAGGATAATAAAGACATCAAACAATTTAAAATAGCCAATCATATTTAGCTAATTATGTTAATAAATGGATGGAAAAGCCAGGATTCCTGGAAGGTGGTTTGTGAAATCAAGAGAGACATTGATAACTATGGTGCCTACATTTGTGACATGTATCTGCTTAATTTCTATTCTCTCAAATATGAATAAGCCAGGATTCCTGGTTTGGGCGTTATA